CTGGAATACAAAAGTACGTGCGATATGACAATTGTGCTCCTTCATTCATCTTATTAATCAGAAAGCTTTAAGGATTAATGTGAGTATGGTAATAAAGCTACTTATTTTCTTTGATGATTGTGGGAATAGGGTGAGCAGCCCTGAGTGCTTGATTGGATGCAAGCGAGTTTGAAGCTGGCGCAGTAGAGAAGAAGGGGCAGAAAGAGGTAGGGAGGGTAGATAGGCTAGACTAGCGTAGGCGGAGATTAAGTGGTGGTTAATGGTGCTTGTGTGTGCTTTGAAGAAGAAACGTCACCACACCCAACACCACCGTGCAGAAGTCTCGGGTGAAGCTGTACGTGGGCGGGTTGAGGCCAAACCACACCGAGGGGCAGTTGCGACGTCACTTTGCCCAATACGGTACCGTCACCGACTTCCACATCGTGAGGGACCCCAAAACTGACGAGTCAAAGTGCTTCGGCTTCGTGACCTTCCAGGAGGAGACACACGCCACTCGCGCACTAGTCGACTGCCCTCACTTTATCGAGGGTGGTCCCGTGTATGTGAAAGCCTCCATTATAAAAACAAAGGCGGAGAAGGAGAAGATGGCCGTCTCCTCAGCTGCCATGTACGTTGATGTTTTGTTTAGCCAGAGGTCTTGGGTAGCGTCTACTCTGAATTCGCTTTGCTCTTTTGCTCAATTAGGTGTAGTCAGATCGTTGTTTAGCTTATCCGTGGGAAATTTATTTTCTTAAAGCCAAAATGAAGAGTCAGTAAGGAAAGCAGAAGAGTCTTTCTACAAATTTGATGATCCAATTCGAACAAATTGTTGTCATTAGTGTCTGCATCGAGTGCACGAACGATTGAGCTGCCCATTCTGTTAGGCGCACGGTAGTATGGTTGTGGTTGTAAAGGCATTGTAAATTTATTTCTCCAATTAGGGCGCTTCAGTTCCTTAAATTTACATTGATATGTATTGTGGGCTCATTGATGAGTGCGAAGACGTGCGACCTGAGTATTGAAGGCATTAAGGACATCTTGCCTACTCGTGGGTTTAGTGGTTATGCATTTCTTTCAGTGATATGAACGAGAAGTTGGAGGGCACAGACGAAGGCAGTGGCATTGGTGGTGGGCAAGAAGTGGATAAGCTGCGCCTATTCGTTGGCAGTCTAAGCCCTTCAACTACGCAACAGGCATTGAAGGAGCATTTCTCCCACTACGGCAACGTCACACGTGTGGACGTGATTTTGGAACGAGAAAGTGGAAAGCCACGAGGCATTGCATTCGTG